TTAATAAGTTCTGATGATTCACTATCATTGGACCGGCCTCTACATAGTATGTCTCTAATCAGAAGTGGTTTATCTCCTGGGAAGTGCAATCCAATCTTGCCTAGAAAAATTCCTAAAACTTTTCATATTCAGATATTTAAAATATGTATTTGTGCAGTGATTATATGTGCTGTTTTTTCCTTCCACACTCTTTCTTTTTCCACTTCATGAATGATACAGGACATCCAGAAGTTGACTGGCAGAATCCTCATATACGCAAGGACATTCTTCCTTTCATAATGGAAAGCAGAAAGGTTGGACAACTTCCTCTTAATAAGCTAAGTAAATACCTGTGATATCTTGGGTTTCAGTCTCAGTCATTTCCTCCTTGTGCCCCAACCTCTGAAAAAAAACCAAATGGTATGTTTCTCTAAAGGTCACAGGGTAAATGCTCCACTAAATTCTTGGGACACTGAGCTATGCTTTAAAGCAGCAGAAGTTTTTCAATGTGACTGTCTTTTCCATCATCTTTCTAAAAGCATTCTTCATGTCCTTGTTCCTGAGAGTGAATATGATGGGGCTGAGGAAAGGGGTTATGACAGTGTATGGGACTGCTATGAGTGTGTCATCTCCCCCTGAGGCTTCTGGCTTCAAGTAAACAATAGATGCAAAACTAAAGTGGATGATGACTACCATGAGGTGGGAAGCACAGGTGGAAAATGCCTTCTGCTTTCCCTCAGCTGAGGGGATCCTGAGGACAGTGGAAAGAATGAAAATGTAAGTCAGGATGATGAGCATAAAGGTCCCCAGCAAGCCTGACACTGAAATCAGTGTCACAGTGAATTCTGTGAGGTCACTATCTATACAGGACAGTCTCACAACTGCTCTCATATGGCAGAAGAAGTGTTTGACAAGGTCGGGTTTGCAGAAAGAGCCCCTGAATATCAGTGCAGTTTCTATCAAAGAGATAAAGAAGCCTCCAACCCAGGCAGAGGCCACAAGTTGTCCACATACAATATTGGTTATAAGCAGTGGATATCTGAGAGGGTTGCAGATGGCCAGGAAGCGGTCATACCCCATCAAAGTAAGGATGATGCAATTTGTGCCACCAAGTCCCAAGAAGAAACACATCTGCAAGCCACAACCTGTGACTGAAATACTTCTGTTATTGGCAAGTAGATCTTCCAGCATCCTGGGGATGACAGTCAAAGTGTAGCAGGTCTCAGAGAAGGAGAGTGCACTAAGGAAGAGATACATAGGGGTGTGGAGAGATCTGTCCACCCAAGTTAGACCCAGGATGGCCAGATTACCTGCAATGGTGAGAAAGTAGAGACAAAAGAAGACCACAAAGAGGAATGTCTGTACATGTGGGTAAACAGAAAAGCCAAGAAGAATGAATTCCTTCAGGATTGTCTGGTTGATCTTCATTATTTGAATGTCTGAAATTTGAAAGAAAGACCAAATAAACATTTAATTTTCTATTTATTCTTTGATATCATCAAATGAAAGTTCTGATGTGACTAACACAAATTATAAGGGACACAACTACCAACTGCCTTTTCCTTTAGTTTAGCAAAAGCATGTGGTGAAGCCAAAAGTCATTATCCCTTCTTGGAGAAGACATTTAAGTTTTAAAATGTTGTAGAAGACTAAAGAACATGTTCCCTTCCCCTACTCTGAGGAGAAGGAAAGAAAAAAGGTAGGGCATCCAGGACGCTTAGGATTAATATAGCAATTAATTAGAATATGTGGATGGTCTTGATATATATTCAAGCATACTGCAAGGTAGAAATTGAGATTTTGTTAGGCACGACTGGTGACAATTTGCTCTGTACCCCATGAATATTCATAACCAATAAAAAAAAGAAATTGAAATTTTGCCCATTTCTTTAACACCAAACTCAGCATCCAAAAAAGG